ACTAGTAGATAGTTTCACTCGCCTAAATATTGCTTTAGGGATATACAGTATCTTAAGGTGGATTCTAATAATAATAACCCAGGTCAATTCACACAGCGTGAACAAGCTAATTAGAATTTGTATTGTGGGTACTAGACAACTGACATAGAATCTTACATATTTTTTTTTATAAATACAAACATAATATATATAGGAAACACCCAGACCAGTACAAATAATTATACTTATGAATACTAATTCATTTCACCATGCGGGAATCAAAACTGCAACAATCAAAAGTGAACCTGTGCGCTAAACTATTAATATTACAATATACTTTTTTTTTAACTATTATCTGAAAGCATTGCGGTCTAGTGGTTTACTACCACGCCTTAGACAAAAACTTTTACGCTCTGCTCCCCTACCACGTTGGGATCCAAAACACCCAGCAAAATGCCAAATGTCGTATTCATCTTGAAATCGACAGTTGATAATGCCTCTTACCTCATTTCGAAAAACTGCCGTGAAGGTATATAAATTATTATATTTTAAGTTATTTCTTATTAGCGAACACGGAGCATTATTTATGTCAGATACGTGCCGTGATAATAATCTATGCTACGAAGTACGAGCATGTCTTGTTATCTTCACTTACTGTACCCGCGACATCGTCTACGTGACCGGACATTTTTTTAATCAATGATAATATAATAGTATACTGCACCCATCTACGATCACAGTATACGCCGGCTGGACACTAATGGAGGATTATAGAATGAGCATGAAGTGAGATCAGTTAGCCTATTGTGGCAAATTTACCATAAAATAACAACGATAGTTTCTCGAGGTCCACGTGGAGGTCGGTCTAATATAGTACATTACTAGCAATGACAACGGTAATCATTTACCACCAGATGGGCCGTATACTTGTTATAAAAAAATGAGGCTAATACTTTATATTACTTACAATCCCGTTCACTTCCCACCACCACTGTGACAGACTTGAGTACTGTTGCAATTGTTTCTCATATTAAACATATTATTTTACTATAGTTTTATTAGCATATGATTCATTCATAACCAGAAATATATCACGTAAATCATCATTACATAAACAAAATCTGGACATAAAAAGTAACTTATGTCTTTCTCTATGCCAAATATTATGTTCAAAGTCTCACTATAATAAATTAATATTACAGAGAGAGAGTTACTTAGTAAGTACTTGTATGGTAATAACTTCCTGTTCTGTTATGAATTTAAATTTTATATTTTTACTATATTCTATAATAACTTTACTAAAGATGCATTAATTGATGCATACGGACCACAGATCTTCGATTTCATAAGTTCTAGACACCCAATTCCATCATTCACCTTAATGACACTTCAATTAAGAAAATCTGTTCCGTGCTTCTGTGACGTCACTTCTGTGGATTTTCTGGTCCTGGTACCTTCAATTAATCATCCAGGAAAATTAAGGATAATTTGGAAGCATTGAAGATGAAGCTGAACATTTATCATTCTCTAAATGATGTTCTATAAAGATGACTCAGTGGCGTTAAATGTTTTAATATCATTTGTATAATCAACAGTTCTCTTTCAAGTATTCAACATTATTTGTATTAAATTATATTCACGGTGATATTTACCATGATAATATTATGGGCATGATTATGTACGTAGAAAAAAAATAGAAATATAAATAATCTTTATTCAAATAAACTCAATACTTTTGAATAGTTTTTTTATTTTACCACTCATTTTGAACGCAGACTCATCACAAGAAGAATGAGCAAGAAACTTGAGTGTTGCTCTTTTGTATAGATGTTAAAAGACTAAGAAATCTGACTCTTACTGAGTCAGTCATTAGTCATAGTGACAGTAGCGCAAATTAAAACAATATCATTTTATTAATAAATGTTATTATAATTATTTGAATGGAATTACTAACAAAGTAAATATAATAATCTTAGGACAATTCACATTGCGCCAAAACAGTTCAAACACACAGTCCCAAATTAAGCTAGGTGAAGCTTGTGTTATGGGTTCTAGATAACTGATACAAACACATAGATTTTTTTAAGGTAAATACTTACATATTTTACATAGAAAATACCCAGACCAATACAAACAATCATACTCATGAATACAAATGTTTGTTCCGTACGAGGAATCGTACTCGAGACCATCGGAAGTAAGGCGGTGTGCTAAACCGCTAGACAGCCGAGGCCGTCAATATATAATTTATAGTTATCTATTATCACGGCCGGTGCCTCTTAACACATAAATATTACATACGTACCAGAAAAGTAGAGCAGTATTATCATAGAAAAATAACAAAACTGCAAAAGGGATAAAATTTTCATAAAGACTTCCTGCTCAATAATTTACGGGCGGCAATTTGCAATTTAAAATTGCAACTGTAATTCCATAAATTCGACGCCTTCCAGCGCTGTGTCGTTTCCATGTGTCGTAAGCGAAAAACCCTCTGTCTGGTAGAGTGTTGGCAGGAAGCAAAGCTTTGAACTGTGTACGGTTAATGGTCCATTAGAAACTGCACTCAGTTGGCATGTAGCAGCCCGATTCATCGCTGAACCCACCTCATTCATCAGAAAACTAAAAGGAATCTTTTAGTTCTACCTTCTTTTATTAAATTGGTAGTTTTAACGCGTGCGGTGTTAACCGACTTGCTATAGTATTTTATCAGTAACTTTGCCTGTAAAAATAATTAATGGAATGGCATAAGTAACTTTACCTTTGTGACATTTTAATGCAATAGCTAAAATGTTTAATAAGGTTGTATAACAAACTGCAATGCTCGCTTCCATACAATTATTATAAATTAAGAAGTTTGACTTGCGATTTCATACAAATGGCTGAACGAATCTAAATAAAAATTGATATGAAGATAGATTGTAATCTGAGGACGAATATTTTATCGTTAAAAGGAAACCGAATTAATAGTAATAGCAAATATTTTATAGTCAAAAATTTAGGTTTTTTTCTAGCAGGGTTCAATATGTGATTAAATTAAAAAGATCTTTCAATCTATTAAAGAACTCAGGAATAAAGTAAATAATATCTAAATTAGTTCTCTATTCCTAAAATAATATAAATTAATAATAATCACACAGACAGACAAATAATATAAATTAAAAATAATTTATGTTACAAATTAAAGTTATTGAAATATGAAAATATATACACTTAATAGCACCAAAACTAAAATATATACGTGAATACAAAAAACTAATACTGATAAGCAACAATATAGCACATAATAAGGTCATAAAATCCCTTGTACCTCACAATTTAGACGTAATGTTATCCCTTCTGTTTGTATTAGTGATTGCACAACATTTACTATCCATCAGACGTAACACGGCAGTACTTACTCAGGTGAGTTACAACTTTACCAACTATTTCTTCTAGCAATCCCAAATTCTCTCTGTACGAAACTATTTTACCTCTATTTTATAGTCAAAAAATAGTGTAAGGGTTTTTATATACTGAAGCTGGCGTACAGTTATAATGCACTTTTTTTGATTAAATTAAGACACATCTGATGGTAAATGATCATCATCATCATCATCAGCCCACTGCAGTCCACTGCTGGACATAAGCCTCTCCCAAGGCACGCCACTGGGCACGATCTTCAGCCCTTCTCAAGACGTAACTACACTACGTTTGAATAAAGTAAATATTTTATAGAGAAACTCCAAGCATAGTCCAGTCGTATCGTAAATAAGTCATGACGGGTAGGACGCACTGGTTATAGCTTTCTCTATTGCCCTAGATAAATAATATACAATTCGAGAGATAATAATCACACATTGAACATGATCTTGGTTTTGTCCAATTCATAATATAAATTAAAAATAATGATGACAATGTCGTCAGCAAATTGAGAGATGTTCTCGCCGTTGACATTAATGAAATATGAAAATATATCCAGTTGTAAATAATTTAGGGGATATAACTTAAACTGTAATAATTTAGGGGATATAACATCCCCCTGTCTTACACCACGCTTTAGGTGGATATGCTTAGTCTGCTGGGTTTGTACTTGGACGGTCAACGTTATAGAGACATCTCAAATATATATATGGTACGTGAATACAGAAAAACGATAATACTGATAAGCTAGACACAATATACTCTTCCGTTTTCTGTATAACTTACTGTGTAATGAATGGTCATACTTCGAAACCCGGCCTGTTCCGGGGTTGAAACTCATGTCGCGCAAGCCGATTCGTGATCTCTTGAAAATAGCTTGTATATATTTAGATAGTTCTTCGTTTTATCTCCTTTTTGATGTTATGGCCCTACTCCATCTGTTTGTATTGAAGAGTGAGTACCGCAAGTACAGGAGTACCTCCAGCCTTCAGGAGCTCAGTGGTTATTCCGTCTTCACCTGGGGCTTTTCCATTTTTGAGCTGTTTAAGAGCCATCGATCTCGTAACTAACGGGCATCTCCTCAGTGTAGTGGCGTGTCAGAGGAGCTCTGGAATCGACAACAAGAGATTCAGGCCGATATGCATTGAGGCGTACAGTTCTCCGAAAAAGTCTTCAACTATTTCTTCGGTAAGCAGATGTGGTTACCTTCGACAAGTGCCTCCTCTCTGTTGGACGAAACTGATTTCTGCTCAATTGCTTTTTCAATTAAAAGTGTGTTCGAGGATCGGAGATCACGTCGTACCAATTTAGATATTTTTTTATTCAGTACCCGGTGTTCTGGTGATGTTAGCGTCGAGGACTTGTCGCGTCGATGTTGAATAAGCTGCAGAGTCTCTTCCGAAAGTCTAGTCCTTTTTCCTGTACGCCTCTTCTCGCAAAATTCAACTTGAGGCAAGCTATTATAGTATCGAGTCTTTGGTCAATACTGTCTGTGGTTTCCAAAACAGCAAACCGGTTTTCCAGTTTTAATGGAATGCTTTAGAACCAACGATGGTTTGGAGCATATTTGGCCGGAGCGTATATTCTTTCCAGCTTGAGATCGATATTCAGAGAGCCACGAACTAATCTGTGACGGTTTTAAACCTAGTGATCACAGAGACATCTCTGAATATACGCTTCTTATCCGTCAAGATGAAGTCGATCTCGTTTTTGGTCATAGAGTCGGGGCTCTGCCACGTCCACTTTCGTTGAGGTTGTTTCTTGAAGAAAGAATTCATCAAGAACAACCCCTCTTTCTCTAGAAAGTTGACGAGCATTTGCCCCCTATGATTCCTACTACCAAAACCATGTGGTCCCATAGCTGTCGATTCGCTGCCGGTTTGGATTCCCACTTTAGCATTAAAATCCCCCATAACAATGTTGTAGAATGCCTTTGAGGTGTTATGTATGGCCTTGGATATGTCTTCGTACATACTTTCTACTTCATCATCCGAGTGTGCCGATGTCGGTGCGTATACTTGCACAACTTTAAGGCTATACCTCTCAGTTAGCTTCAATACCAGATACGCAACCCTATTCGACACACTGGAGATTTCCACAACATTGTTTATTAGGGTCTTATGGACCAAAAACCCGACACCACCTTGGGAAGGTTGTTCTCCCTCCCTGAAATACATAAGATGGCCAGATTCCAGAGTCATGGTGTCCTCCCCCTCTCTTCGGACTTCACAAAGACCAAGAATATGCCATCTTATATATTTCAGTTCTTCTTCCAGTTGCGCGAGGTGTTCATCCAGTCGCAGTGTACGTCCGTTATACGTAGCCAGGGTCAATGAGTGTTGGCGGCCTACCGTAGCCCGGGGATTCTTAGCACCCCTTGCTCTGCCGTTACCATAACCGCCGCCTTGGCCAGGAATAGCAGAGCGGCCGGGAACTAGGGGCCATGGTTGTGTAGGACCTGTCATGGGAGGAATGTGCCCATAATCGCCACGCTGGGCATGCGGGTTGGCGATCGCAAACAGTTTCTCGCACCGATGACGCTGCTGCCCATCATCAGTCTGTGGGATTTGAAACTGTGTAGTTAGAATGGTTATACCGCCATTTGTCGGTCGTCAGAGCCTCGTCTGTTATTTAGCAGGATGTACCGCGAGCAGGTGAGGTTGACTTAGAGCACTGGGCTGGTGTTCGCGCTCCCTTACATCCCCGCGCTCCCTTACATAATATATATGAAAATAACGATAAAATCATAATGGTAAATGATAACCGCCGTCTATGAGCACTGGTAATAGGGCATTGTAAGTCAGTTGGCGGTCTTTAAGAAGGGGTGTGTAGGGATAAGTATTAAGAGAAAAGGAAGACCGAGTCATCATGCGAAACGCTATAACGCCTATATTCTGAAAAGGTGTGGTATTATGGTTCATGCAGGCTGCGTTTTGCGTTACGTATTAATATGCATTTGTGCTGCACATTAACACGTAATTATACGGCATGCTCTATACCACTTATAACTACATATACCGGTACTTATTGTAGAATAGTGAGACGTCTTTAATTTGTAAGGAATAAGGTATATATCTGCGATTAAATTTGGTCCATATTGAAAGTCCCACTTATATAAAAGAGACAAAAATCTTTAGTCTATAATTATGCTGACCTACGATTAACAACATCTTCTGTGATTCGATCCTAATTATCCAATATTCTAAGTTATTGCGAGAAACTTTAACACACAATCAGACAAACAGATAAGTAGATTATTTTCGCTTCATAAAAAATGAAACGCCGGAGAAGATTTAAAGTAGGTAAATAGAAATAGATAATAATAAAAATCTTATATGCTCTCACGAAAACTCCTAGTAAGTTACCTAGTCTCAACGTAATCGAAATGTCCAAGACAATACAAAAACACAATGGCCTTTCCGTAACTTTATGTTAATAGATTGCAGGTACAAATCTCAGCCGGGAACAAATACCCAAGAGGATGGACCGAGCCACTAACGAGCGGGTAATATTTCCTACGTACCTACATGCCCTAAAGCCATGAACACGAGCGCTGGTAAAATAAGACTCAGTATTTCGAATCGACAACTCGGCAAATTCTCTAGTGTAGCTAATGCTAATGGACTGTAGTGATCACTCCTGTCTCTAAATCTCTCTACTCTGATCTATACACACACTGGTTGTTACTCACGATTTAGATGTATAAATTGCCTATATCCCTCCTCGTCATACAGTTTACATACCTTTATTTCATTAAGATGCGTTCAACCGTTTAATCGTGAAAAAACAATAAACAGAAAGACAGAGAGACACGCTTTAGAATTGATAACATTAGTATGTATCAATATATAATAAAATTATTACAGGCTTTGATATATTATTGAATAAATAAAATATATATTGAGCTTCTTTACCAGAGCAACAGAAGCTAAAACAGCAGTTATATTTAGGACTCTTTGTATATTTGTTAATGAAAATGACGATATGAAAATGTAATGCACAAAAAATAAAAATAATATTTGGATCTCTATAAAATCATAATGTCGTTAATAGATACTTAGCAACTATTATAGACTTAACTCAAAGCGAGTGAAGTTTTAATTGCAAATAAATCTGTACATCCAATTAAACGATCTGGCACTTGTTGTTATGTACAAGCCCTTACACAAATGTACCTGATTAATTTGAACGGAATCTCGACCACTTTCTATCTTTCCGCCCGATCCCTTTTTAACCCAACAACAAGTATAATAAAATAGCCTACATTTTAATTAAACACTTGAGTAATTTGTATTACCTTTTATATTATATTGAAAAGGTTGTGTAGTTATAAAGGACTAAGAATAGTGAGTTCCTAATGTTAAAAATTATGTTATATATATATATATATATATATAAAAGCAACATTCTACTTACATCTATTCTACTTACAGAAGCAACTGATGTCATTTAAGATAAGGTCACCATTTTAAATCTGTTGGGAGACGATTGATAACAATGTACCGTGTAATATTCCTTCAACTTCAACTTCTTTGCAAAACGCCGGGAATCTTTATTGCGAATTCACTGCGAACTCATTGAAATCTTTTTATCTCTACCTTTTTCACTTGCACAATTGGAATTACTACTATTTAATTCCATTAGGGTTTCATTATCTATAAAAAATAAATAATAGCTATATAAATCCCATTATCCGATGTAAATTTCCAAATATTATGCATGCTTATTACTTCAAATTCCAAAACGACTAACTCATTTTATAGCTTTTATATTAACCTCTTATGTATGGTTAAAATTTGTAAAAAAAAAGTTACGGTATAAAATCAATATAATACAAATACATAAATTGACCCTCAGGATTAGTATCTTACTTTAACCACCATTATCTATTACGTATTACGATTTGCTTTCCTTTCTCATAGACACCCAGTACACCCCTGGGAAGCCAATAGTTCACAGCTATTTCTGCAGTATAGAAACGATTAATTTATATTTATATACTACATATATAGCGGACTAATGTACGATTACTCCTAATGATAAATGCTCGATGTAGCCTGTCCAATACCAATTATATCAAGTGCACGTTGCCAGCTCTGAACAGTTTTCCCAACGGGCTCTGGAGGATAGCTTTTACATTACATTTATTCTGTTTCACCAGTTTCTGAGTCATTTTCCTCGTTCTACATCCATTTCCACATCTGGTTTCAATCCTAGTAATGATTTATCGAACGTCACCGTTCATGGCACCATGCCCTTTCTATCATCTGCAAAAGTATAAGACAAAGTCACTATTGTCGTTTGTATGTTTCTCAAACTACCCTTAATTTTTCTAAATAGTCAATATTTTGATGCAGTTTTCAATACAATTTTTAATTTTTCTTTTTGGAAAGTTTATATGCATATATAATACGTGCGTTGACAACTGGCGTATTGCTAATACTACTGTACTACTGTATCGCTAGTACAAATGCAAGTCTTAAACAGTATGATAAGACAAAACCCTTTTAATATGCTCATAAAACTGTACCTACCATATTCACTTAGAAATAAAATTGTTATTTTGAAAATTAAACTTGAACTTTTATTTTACTTTGCATTCGATTGAAAATTTTAAAAAATAATTTAAATTTTTCTTTGTGATATTTAGTTTAATAACTACTATCTAGTTCATTAACTCGGACCTACCATATATAACCATAAATATATGAAGTATTTATATCTTCAAAACTATATAAAACAATGTATTCATATTATTACAGGTAAGATAGGAATCGAGATAGAAATGTGAATCACACAAAATTCTATCACGAGTAAGGATTTTTGAAAATATATACGAACATGAAAGATATCGAATTTCGCGTGGGTGAAGCGTGGGTTTGTTTCTAGTAAAGGCGCTTTGAAATCTAAAAGGAAAAAAGAAACAATCATGGGAATACCTATGAAATATATATACACTTTAAAATATATTACTTTAGAAGTGTATATACGAGAATATACTAAAGAAACTTTATGACAATGTTAATTTATATTTAAATATACGTGACAATATATATTTCAACTATCACATAGACATTACTAGGCGATGAAGAAATTGGCCACTTATCTAAGAAAAATCCACTTCGCCAAATGCGAAGATCTGAAATCGTATTTAACCTAATTATAGGGGTCGATTCCCTTGAGAGTTCATTACAGCCTTCCTAATTCCTTTCTTATTACGAACCCATACTTATTAATTTTGATACAAAAATTCTTCTAGAATCTGTGGCATAGTCCATTTGATAATACTTGAGAGAATTAAAATGGATGACTACTGATGTAAAGCCATTTTGTCGATTTATCTAACGAGTCCTTGACCCAGCAATCGTCAAATGGCTTATCTATTGCTTTCCTTGTTTCGCCATCTAACAAACATTTACGTAGATTACTGTATTTTTTTTCTGTTTCCAAATCCTCTTTGAAGAAAAAGGAAAAGATTAAAAGGCTGTTCACTAAATAATCGACTAAGTAATCAAATTGAATTTATTTATCAGAAACATTCTCCGTTCGTATCGTCTACTTAATAATGAAGAATAAACTTTAATATGTTTTATGATGATGAAATCAAATGATTATATATATATCTGAGAGCCCGTTATAAATAGCAATACCTACATTTTTTTATCTATAACATCATCATAGGATTTTGAATTGGTTATCAAACACTTCGTAGGCCCAAAAAGTTTAAAATGCCAATGACATACATCCAATGAGAAAAGATATCTGCCGGAAACAGTACTACAATAGTACGAAAGAATGCTTTTATTGACCATTATAATAATCAAGAAACTAAGTAGCAAGAAACTACTTATTAGGACTAACATCTGATTCTTAACTACTTTGTATAACGTCATACTGAATATCAGAATAATATAGGTATGACAGCTGCCCTCTCTCTTTTTTGGAGAAACTTTCCAGAGTAGGGTACGTATGGTAGCATCTTTAAAATCCCAAAAGATACATACGTCTAGGGTCGGCCCTATTTATAATACATTCTATTGAGTCTATAGAATTTGACCCTTACTCTTTTACAGAAAATTATATTTCCCTTTCACATCCAATTACATTCCCATATGATATGTTAGGATTGGATATATTGTAATACAGAAACAAATATTGCTCCACTTTAATGAAATTCTTGATTACTCATTTTCAAAAACCTCCATCAGTAGTTTTTTGGGAAAACTTTAGCAAACTCACTCTACAACTTGCAAGCTGATTTTTGGTGCAATCGAATTAGTGCCCAATAAAGGTCTTTATATATACTTTATACTACATATAACATATTATTGACTTTATATACAAATTACTAAATAAAATTGTAAAATCATGATGACATAAAAACTGTCTGCTGTATAAATCGCTAGAGGAATTGGAGATAAAATTTTCACAGAATTTTTTGATAAATATGGGTCAGCATAAAGGGAAATAAGAAAAATACGGAGGCGTATTTTCTGTTTTCTTTACTTCTTCTTTACCAATGTGTTGACTGGAGAGAGGGGATCAAATATTTCTTCTGAATATTTTGAACTTTCCACCTAGTATTATATCAATTAATGAATTTATGAATAATAGATGGCACTGTACAGATGCCAATTATATGCCGTCATTAAAAATGGTGTATTCATATTATTAATAAAGTAAGTCTAAAAAATATCCTTTGTATGGTATGATACTTTTTGGGTATTATACATTATAGTATATATATATATACATTTTACTTTATAAGTTTTTAAGTACATTTATAATATGTATATTTATATATTGTACTTACGTATTTATTTTATTATGTGTTTATTTTTTCCTTTTTATTGTTATTATCATTTCTGTATAAGCTTCTATTCCCAGCACTCGACAATTCCTCTCAGTCATTCAAAGGTTGACTGCAAGAAATCCCTCATTAGATAAGTCCGCCATTGTACAATTTATTTCTTAAGGTCGTTGTTTCCTGTCATATTAAGTGTTATTTCTGTTTCTGTACTTCAGTTTAATATAAAATTTGATTACCACAACTATAGAAAAAGACCAGAAACTCCAAGTGTTAAAATAAGATGTGGAAAGTATACTCAGTCTATTTATGGATTATCAACACGACAGACTGATCACAGGTACCGAGAAAGGTGGCATCTGGACAGCTCCTCGAAACGTGCTCAGAAAATGAAGTATACAGACGTCTGTGGCTGTACTTTATTATTACAGAACTTATATAAAATGTAACGAACTTTCTAGACAGTTCGTGTATACTATCACAAGTAGAATGGACACAGATATTTTTAGAGCAGTTATTGAAATGAATATTAAAAGTTAAAAAATAAAATATGTATCAATACTGTAGATAGATAGATAGAATATACCTTTCCTCATTACATCTGTATAATAAATAATAAGATGGCAAATGCAAGCAATGTTTTCATAGCAACCTTATGGGAACAGATATAATTGTGGTACATATGGGTGACATATAAATAAAGGAATACTTTAGAATAGATATACCAAAGAAACAAAACTACAATTAGAACTACTACTACCTAATTTATGCCAAGAGGAAAATAAATACAAATAAATAAATACAGGTAGAATAAATATAGTTCTGAACAATTAAACAACTATTGGTTAAATAAATGTACATAGAGAAATAAATATATAGATACAAATTAATATTATTTAAATGCCTGATTTAAAGAAGAACATACAAACATTGAGTAGATGGTCTTTTACTAATAATAACTTATTACTTAATTAAGTCTATTCGGATTTTACTCCCTTTAAGAGACAAAGAGGGCTGAAGACATAAATTATTATATACTTCATGACCAAAAACATGAAATCTATTAATAGCGCTGGGATCGAACTCGGACCGACTGAAGATAAAGTAGTAACTCAATTCACAACACAGTCAAAGTCGTAATGTATTTATCGGACAATTCTGTAGACATTCAATGGTTTAAATATTATTTACTAATAATAAAAATCCCCAATTACATCCGTACTTATTACATGAGCAGTTGTTGTTTTAAACATTCATATGTAAGCGTTACAGCCTCTGTTATGTCTATAGGAATGTCCTTACTAATGAATTAATCGATACAATCAGTGTACAATATCAGTTGATCCTTAGCTTATAATAAATTATTATACCATTGGGGTCAGTTAATATAAGCAATGACTGTACCAAACAGCTTTGTTCTGTAACGAAGTTATTCGCTCTTATTTGATTTGAGTATTATTACTCTTTTATGCAACAATGGGAAAGACAAATAAACAGATAATATAACTCGATGTATATTTTGTACTATTATATTAATATTGAATCAGTAATAATACATGTAAGTATTAGATAACACTTTTTATTGGTATTTTAACTGTATAATTAGTATTTAGTGTATTTTTTTAGAATTTTTATTATTATA